TTTTATCTTAGGTTAATTAAACATTCAATTAGTAGGCCACCTTAAAATCATTACACGATTACATCTATATACCTAATAAATTATTCATTTAAGAATTGTGGTGGTAGCTGTTTTAGAATTCTAATATTCAATTCCTACGTTTGAGCACCCACATATACATATAATAATCATATAAAATATTAAAAAAAAAAAAATTACTTGAAAGTTAAAGCTTTAGACAAATACAATTATGCCCGTGTACAAATAAAAATTCAATTTTCTTATCTTCATTTACTATATCAATAAAAAATTTAAAAAAGAAATAAAATGTTAGATCCGGCCCAATATTTCGTTTGCTAGATCCGGCCCATTTCATTTTTTGGTTCTGAAAAGGGTTTTAGGTTTTCCCTGTCCAACCATACAAACCCATTGTCTCTCTTGCTCGCGGTCGCATCTCGGAGACCATTGCAACTTGGAGTTTGAAGCCTTCTTCCTCGCGGTAACGCTTGAATCCATTCTTTACCTTCTCTGTGATTCCCTTGTTAGTTTGTACTGTAATTTCCGGATTCAAACTGAAACTCAGCTCCGTTTTCATGGATTTATTCGCCTAATTTTGTTTTTTCCTCTCTTCATTTTCCTGCTGTTCTTTTGTGCATTCATTGTTTGATTATACGCGTTTATATACTTTTGTACTTTTTATTCTTGTCCCCTACATTTGCTTGCTTTCCTGTCAGAGTGCTTGGATTTCTAAGAGACTATGATTTAGTTAAGAGTTCGATTACTCAGTGGCAGTATTTTGATCTCATTTCGTATCTGTATCTCGCTTTAATTTTTCTTCTCTTATTTCTCTTTTCGGTACTCTCTGAAATCAGTTCTACTCTGTGTTGGAATTTCCTTCAAAGGAAAGAACCCTAACGGATCTTTCTGGGAAGCTCAAAGAGGATAAAAGATGGCGCTGCAACATCTTAGTCGTCCAAGGAGTGTCACCAAGAGGTCCACTAAGTACTTAGAGGAAGCGCTTTATAAGAAGCTATTCAAGGAAGGCAGCTCAGAATTGACCGTTCGCCAACAACTGAATCTCTTCATCAAAAGCTCGAAGCGGGTATACAAATGGGAAGTTGGAGACACTCTCAAGAAGCTTCGTGATCACAAGCTTTATTACCCTGCTCTCAAGGTCTGCCCCATTTGTTTTATACTTATCTCCATTTTTTTAGGGTTTTAAATCTATAAATTTTTGTTTAAGTCATTGCTTTGTTTTAGTTTAGGCTAGAAGAAGTCCGAATTTGGGGAACTTATGGATAACGATTGAATATGATTTGGCTCACTGTGATTGACTTTTTCATTGGTGTAACATATAATACGAATTGGAGAACCGAAGAATGATTTGATAGTTCGTTGCATAAAATGTGATTCTAAATGGGTTATCCAGAGATCCTAAAGTAACTTCAGTTTTGAAATGGTCCTATGCCTTTGATATGATTGAGGAACAACGTATTCTGATGTTAGACTTGCAGTTCTTTTTTGTGTGTTTGAATTTTCATATATTCCTTTTGAGGGGATAGGGGAAGAAGCTTAGTTCCGTTTCATTCTTGATGTCTCTAAAGTGATCGATTTACAGCTCTCAGAAACAATGGCTGATAGGGGCATGAACAAGACAGTCAGTGATCAAGCTATCCATCTTGATCTTGCGGCCAAGGCAAGGGGGATTGCAGCAGCAGAAGATTACTTCATTGATCTTCCCGAAACAGCAAAAAACCATCTCACATATGGTGCACTTTTGAACTGCTATTGCAAAGAATTGATGACTGAAAAGGCAGAAGCTTTGATGGAGAAGATGAAGGAATTGAACATTGCTTTAAGCTCCCTGCCGTACAACAGTCTCATGACTCTTTACACGAAAGTTGGCCAACCAGAAAAAGTTCCAGCCATCATTCAGGAAATGAAGGCATGCAATGTAATGCCAGATTGTTATACATACAATGTGTGGATGAGATCTCTGGCTGCCGTCAATGATATTTCTGGGGTTGAAAGAGTTTTTGAGGAGATGAAGAGGGATGGCCGGATAAGTGCGGATTGGACAACATATAGCAACTTAGCATCGATTTATGTTGATAGCGGTTTGTTTGAAAAGGCAGAAAGGGCACTGAAGGAAATGGAGAAGAGAAACACCAAGCTTGATGTTTTAGCTTACCAGTTCCTACTAACTTTATATGGGCGAATTGGCAAATTGATTGAAGTTTATAGGGTATGGCGCTCTTTGAGGCTGGCTTTTCCAAAAACTGCAAATATTAGTTATCTGAATATGATACAGGTACTGGTTAACTTGAAAGATTTACCAGGTGCGGAGAAATGTTTCAGTGAATGGGAATCTGGCTGCTCAATGTATGATATCCGGGTTGTAAATGCTCTGATAGGAGCCTATGCTAAGGATGGTTTACTAGAGAAGGCTCAAGAGCTCAAGAGGAGAGCGTGGAAGAAAGGGGCTAAGCCCAATGCTAAAACTTGGGAGATATTCTTGAATTATTATTTGAAAAATGGGGATATCAAATTAGCAGTTGGCTGTGTAGGTAAAGCAATACCTATTGGTAGAGGAGATGGTGGAAAGTGGATCCCTTCCACTGAGATTATTGGTACTTTGATGGAGCATTTTGAGAAACAGAAGGATGTTGATGGTGCTGAAGGTTTTCTGGAGATTCTGAAGAAGGGTGTAGATGGTTTTGGAGTAGAAGTTTATGAATCATTGATAAGAACTTATGCAGCTGCCAGAAGGACAAGTCCTGTGATGCGCCGCCGTTTGAAGATGGAGAATGTAGAGGTGAATGATCCAACAAAGAAGCTACTTGATGAAATATGTGTTGAGTGAGTACTTTCATCCCTCAATTTTGATTCCCAGGATTATAGTTAATTGGGAAATGAGATATGAATGGGTTCGAATATATATATTTTCTCCAATAATAAAATATCTCTCTTTGTGACTGGCCAATTTACTTGAAACCCTTTTATGACTTGTTAGATGAGAGGTATTGTTTGGGCATGACTTAGGATAAAAGTAGACATGTAGCAATTCCAAGTTCACTCCAAATTGTACAACCTAGTTCTGGTTCAAAGGCTGCTTGGTATTATTTATAATTAGCATTTTCGGAAGTATTTGTAGTTAACATTAAACCCAAAAACAGTCTATAAATATGTGGACTATAGTTTACATGTAATGCAGAAAACAATTTCTTCATTCCTCAACCTTTTTCTTTATTCTTGGTTTGGATGCTCTGTTGTAGTAACTAAAATAGAAAACGGTTAAGATTCTTGACGTCGCAGGGACCAACGTGGGATGAACAGAAATAGCATAAGCTGAATTACACTAAAATCATCAAGGTAAAATTTGTGTTTTACATAAAAATGTTTATTATTCTACACGTGGGTAAACCCATCGTAATTTTTTTTTGAATAAATACAGATTAATATGAGAAATATGTATATCCTAATTTACAATTTATTTAGCGTAGGAAAAAAGGGGTTGATTATTTATTTATTTACTTTTGGTATTATAATTGGCGACAGAGTAATAATGGATGCTCGTTGAATTTCTTCGAGTGTGAGTCCTTTAGTCTCCGGTACCAAAGTGTAGACAAACGCAATTGTCACTCCACATGCCCCCGCGAATATAAAAAATGTTCCTGCGTTTTAATTAAATTCACTTTTTCTATCTACAAATTTTTAATTACTATCAAATTTATTTTTAATATTTGTTCTTAAAATATAAATTAGAGGGAGAGAAAAGAATGTGACCTGCGGGACTCCATTCCAACATAAAATTGAAAAAATAAGCAATAATCCAACCAGTAGACCAGTTGGCCAAAGTGACCAAGCTTCCGGCTGAAACTTTGACATTTATAGGAAATATCTGAAAATTTAGAAACCAATAAATAAATAAATAAATAAATGTAATGTTACCATTAATTTTATTATTATTATTGTTTTTAATGTCAATCAAAAATTCATTACCTCACACATTATGATCCACGGTAATCCTCCAAACCCAACAGCAAACGTCATTATATAGCCCTATTAATTTACGGTTTCATCAATCGAAGGAATAGGGGAAAAATGTGTAAACGAGATAAAAGTGGTAAGAAGTTAAATACCAATACACCCATGAATGCTAAAATGGGAGTGAGCTCCGGGAAGTGATTAGCCGCCTGTAAGAAATGTAAAAGTAAGTAATTAAAATAATTGCTCCGAGTAAAAAAAATTAAAACAGTTAAGACAGGAGAGGAGGTAATAAGCAATTTTAACCTTCAAGGAAAATGATATCCCCAGCAGAATGCAACACAAGCACATTCCAGAAGCAGAAGCCTGTTAATTGGATTACCATAAATAAGTTGTAACATATATGTGTTTATATGTATCTATCTATTTATATATACCATAAGTAGAGGTCTTCTTCCCCATCTGTCGACCAAGAATAGTCCCAATACGGCTTTGGGTACCTGCACGGTATATTATGCAGTGATCATCATAGTTAGTCTGTCTGCAGGTTGGATATGTCTTGTATTATAAAATTGGCTATATTGATATACAAATACACATACATATATACACGATCTAAAACGGGATAAATCCATACCATTATAAGAGCTAAGGTGGTTGTGCCAATGTTAATTGGAAAGCCTGTCTCATCCATAATAAATATATTTGTGTAAGTCAATTGTGTTATTAATTTCGTAAAAATTGTTAGTGTTTCTTGCTATTATATATATATATATATATATATATATACATAATATATATAATATATTGTCTGTGTGTGTAAGTACCAGCTTGTTCGAAAATGCTGCTAGCATAAAGTGCTACACCAGAGCATCCTGAAAACTGTTGCAGAAGCATAAGTCCAATTCCAACCTGAATTATGCATGCATATATTAATCATCAAATTAGCAAACTATAAAGAAAAGAAAAAGATAAAGAACTTAAAATTTACATAATTAATTAACATATGATTCCCTCCATTAATAGACACACGAACACTTACTGTAAGGGCGTGAGCATATTTCTTTTGAAACAAGTGCCGGATTCCAGAATTTGAATCATCAACAGTTTCCATTCCTTCCTACGCATAACAAAAGGGGAATGGTTGGTGTTATATATATGTATATATATATAAGTAAATATACATGCGCGAAAGCATTGAGAGATATAAATTTAAAATATAAAATTACTCTGATAGTAGCAACTTCTTCTGATATATCAACATCCTTCCCTCTTAGACGCTGTAAAGCAATTTCAAACTCTTTTTGGCGACCTAGTTTTGCCTGCACAAGTTTCATTAATCACCATATTACTCTCACTCAATATGTTACAACCATGTAGACACATTATTAGATCATGATCTCATTTGTCCCAAAACCATGGTGTATCGTAAGGTGACTTGATTTAAACCCGAATAATTATTATCTTTTACTAACTAGCGTTATCAAAAAAAATTTGTATCCAACTTACCAGCCATCTAGCAGACTCAGGGACGAAGAACAAACCAATAAGCTGAACAGCACAAGGAATAGCACCTGAAATTAAAGTGAATCACCATTCACATTACATATGTGCAGCTTAAGTGTTTAAAAAAAAAAATTAAATTATGTCAAAAAATCTAATTATTTTGCATTCACAAGGAATGATAAGACTTATGAATATATATATATGTACACACACACACACACATAATGTTTCAATTACCAATAAGTGCCAAGGGACGCCATGAGACAAAATTTCCAGTTATGTACATGAGTGAAAGCCCACAATTCTGCATCAACTGTAGAACACAAATACTTAATGATTAAATATCTGATCTCTCTACATAATAAGCTCAAACTTGATCATAGTGGTGGAGTAATTAATAATAACCTGATTAGCAAAAGTACAGGCTCCTCTAATATTTTTGGGTGTAATTTCTGCAATATATACAGGTACCTGAAATTCGGTGTATAAAAGAAATTGAGTTTTAGTAACATTCTTGGTTACATATATATACAATCTCTGAAGAAACTCAAAGGTTCGTAATTAATTACCACATAAGTAACAAATCCAACTCCAATCCCAAGTAAAAATCGTCCAATGTCCAGCCATCGAGCATCCTTTCAGTAACAAATGAGAGATATATGTGATTGTATTGTTTTATTTGTTAAGGAAGTAGCGGTGTTACTATTATTTTTTGTTGTGAGATATTTTTAAACTGTCACTAAAAATAACTGAGTGAGAGAGGGATATGTACCTTAGCCAACGCTATTATGAGCCAGCCAAGAGTACAGAATAGTTCAGAGAACCACATTGTCTGTTAAATAAAAACCAGAGAAATAGATTTCAACCACCATTCTTAAAGATTCAGCTCATATACATAAATGTTACTGATATTGAGATTTAGTTATAAATATAAAGACATTAATTAATGGATTGATTGATTAATTAAAGTAATTTAGAATAGTCGAATTACATGTCTTCGACCAAAAAGAGAAGCTGTCTTCCCGCTGAACAAAGCTCCAATTGTTCCTCCCAGGGTCATAATTGAACCAAACAGTGAGTACTGTAACCAAGAGAGAACAAAAATCAACCCACAACAGAAAATATTAAATGTTTGTATGAATTTTTATTATCAATATATACTTCACATGATTTTGTTTTTACCATAATCCACAATTTACATATATGTTATTTTTTTCGTAGTAATTTATTATAATGTTTATTAGTTTTTTAAATACACATATTTGTCTGCATCTCTCAATATAAACGAATAAAAGTTTAAAATTAAAAAAGAATTAACGTTAGAAAAAAAAAGGTATAAAAATTTAAAAATATTACTAATGGCACCTAGCCTGATTCCATTCCCTCATCGTTTTTCTTCAAGTACCTTTCATTGATTAAGAAATAGAGTTGATTATCAGCCCACGCATCTCAGGTCCCCTCCCCCCAGCCCTCACCAAAAAATCAACAGACAAACCAAACAGAAAGGCATAAAAAAGAACTAATTAATTAATCAATAAAGACAAGAGAAAACTTACAGCGGCCACAGAGAGACCTAGCTCCTCCCTTATCCCTGACTGAGCTGCCGAGGAATACCCCATCTTCATTCACAAACACCGTATTTTCACATCAATCAGTGCAATCTCCACATACAAAACTACAGATTAAGTTTATGTCTAATCCAGTCAAAATTAATCTCTACAGTTGTAACTAACTAATAATCATGAACAATCATTGCGATTTCCGCCGAATCTGATGTAGAATATCGGAAACAGACTTACTCAAAATAGTCGACTGCGTATGCACATTAAATCGATAATGTTTTACTTACATGTGTATATTCTGAAAGTAAAGAAGGAAATTACTTACAGCGCAGCCATAGCAGAAGGAGCCGCAGACGGCGGTGAAAGTACTGAAGATGACGACGGGGGAGGCAGAGGAGGAGGAGGTGTTCGACGAATCAGTAATGCTACTACTGCTGCGGTTGGATTCATCGTGAACAGGCTTGGCTTCATCTTCTTCTTTTACCAGGAGTCCTTCTTCGAGCTCGTCTTGCTCCATGATCATATTTTTTTCTCTCTGATCAGTCGTGTGTGCTGGCGGAGGGAGAGATTTATAAGAAAGGCTAGAAACAAAAGAAATGATATTTTATGCTTTCTTTATTATTAAATATTAATAATAATTTATTTAAATAATTTATATATAATTTATTAAATAATTTTATCCTTGTGCTATTTTCCGTCTTTACGAATTATGTTACCTGATTTACTCTTACGGGTTGTAAAGTCCACTCGTGTTTTTATTAATTAACGTATTTTATTAAAAAATCAAAATATATATACATACACATTCTTTATTTTTCTGAAAAAAAAAAGGGTTTATACTGTATTATATGATATTTACATTTATTTTTTTTATATAAATAATTAATACGAATTGTACTTTTATTAAGACGATAGTCGTTATGAATTTAAAATTTTATTATTTTTTTAATGAATTAATTTAAAATATTTAATTCATTAATTTATTAATAAAGTTATTATAATTAAATAAAATTTATTCCCAATAAAATTTTAGTAAAATTAATATTTAATAATATAATATTTACATATTAATATCTTTAAATGTAACATTTTCGTGTGTCAGCGACATTCTTTAACGAGACTGTGTTTGGCACGTGCGCAGCGGTCGACGAGAACTGGCCTGTGTATAATGTGTGTGTGTGTATCTGTAAATTAAATTACAAATTTACCCCTGAAAGCGTTTCCCTTCAATTTTCATGTAGACACTCTTCTCACAATTCCAAATGATATTTTATTTCTTACACGGAACTCGTATCTTTTTTTTCTTCCAAAAAAGTATCTGTAATTATTTTCAAAAAAAATATAAAACACTAAGTTACAATTTATTACTCCTCGTAGTTATTTTAATAATAAAAAAAATTAATCGTTATATAATATTGTAATAAATTAAATATTATTATTTTATAATATATTTATAAAATATCAAATAATAATTTAATTAATCACAATATATATTATCTTTTAGTTAATTATACATCTCAATTATATAATTTGAAAATATATTTCCACGAGTGTCACCGTCAATAATAAACGTATTGACGTACGCATCTACTTTTCCATTTTGGGTTATGTGAAAAACTTGTGTTGACAAACAGAAAATTGTAATAAATATCTTCTTAATTAATGGGAGGGCAACAAAATTTTAAGTATGAATTATATTTGTATTGGCCACATTTAATTATCATATACGTAATTGACTTGATAATTATTATAATAATAATCATAAATGTAGCATTTTGTTTAATTAATATTAAAATTGAAAAAAAAAAATTTACATGTTATTGAGTTTGGTAAATAATTTGTAATAATTTGTATTCGCTATGATTAATTGTAATTAACATAATGTGAAAATTATAATTAACAAATTTATTGGGCATGTAGATGATTTTTTTTTTTTGGGTACAAGTAAAAATCAAAAGAAAATTAAAAAATTGTCATGTATATTTGAAACTAAAAGATATTCACGATATCGTTAATGAGGAACTGTTGGAAATCATTCGTCACTTGAATATGATAATGAAAGTCCATCGGTAAAGAGAAGTCAGCATTCCCCAACCAATCAACACAATTATTTTCTTTGCGATAGACATGTTAGATTGTGGTGACTAGAAAAAAAAATGTATATGTAGGAAACGACGCCGTTTTAAAGAAGGAGAAAAACGACGTTATTTTGGGATGGGAAAAAAGGACGTCGTTTTGAATAAGATGGTAGGGTATAAATAGAAGTCGGAAAAGGAAGAAGAACAAAAAGAAAGGAAGAAAAAAAAAAGAAAAGAGAAAGGCAGAGAAGGAAGAGAGTGGGAATGAGGAAAAGAGGAGGAGAAGGAAGGTTCCAGAAAGAGAGAAAAGGGAGTCGGAGCAGAGGGGAGCGACAAGGAGGCCGCGGATGGACGGTGATACCGGCAGAAGGAAGGAAGATGGAAACGGGAGGTACGATGAAAATTTTAGTTGCATTGGTGTGGTGTGAGTTGTGAATTGTTTGCAGGTTGCGGAGTCCGTTGGGGGTATGACGAAGCTGAGAGGTGGAGGTAGGCGGTAGAGTGTGTGATTATTCCGCACGTTCGCGGAGGAGGCCGTGGGAAGCGAGAGGATGGCGATGTTTGGGGCTTACGGAAACCCGTGGGTTAAATTAAAAAGTTAATATTAATCATGATAATTAAATATTCTAATCACAAACATCCTTTTAGTTTCCATTTAAAAAAAAAAGTCATTATTGCTATTTGAAAGCAAATTGGGTTTATATTATATGGGCCAGGTCTTAAAAGAAAATAGAGAGCAAAAGAAATATTATTTTATTAATTATTTTTCTATAAAACTAATTCTTAAATTAATCTATATAAATAGTAGTTATTTTTGTATTATTGATTAATACAATTAGTATTATATATATATATACTATTTTGAATTTTTTATAACTATATTATATTAATATAATAAATAACTTTATTATAATCATATCGAATCATTTATAAATTTTATAGAATTTTAAAATATAAAAAAATTAAGTGGGTTCAAATTAATTTTTTCATATGCTTCAAACGAATTCAAATTTTATAAAATTCGTATCATTTTTTTTTACTCGTGAAATTTATAAATTTTTAAAAAATAAATGATAAATATTTAATTAGTGTTATTTTATTTATTTTTTTTATTATTATTAAATAAGTATATGACCTCCATTGACAAAACTTAGTCTCACCAAACATGATCGAAGATTACTTTCTTTATATATATATATATATATATATATATATCTTGATTAATAAGCCATGCCAAAATGCCAATTTCGTCTTTGTCAACATATATCTACCATAAATCATTAGATTCATATTTGTTCATCAACTTTTTGAATTATTACAAGTATTTTAATTACAAACGTGTAAATTATTTAAATTAAAATATACTATAAAAATAATTTAGAAAATTATAACTAATTACTTCGGACATCGTCATCCATGGTTAATATTTCGGTAACATCAATTTTAATAATTATTAATTAAATGAAGGAATTATGTAAATATTTAATTAATTAATTAATAATAAAGTTAAGAGGGGGTAGTTTACATGTCTTAATTACTCACGGTTATTTCAATTAAATTTTGCACGTGATTCTGAAAGAGGAAAGTTTGGAGTCTGCGCGGGCCCCACTGAATTGATGTCGCTTTTACAAAACGGTCGAAGCCATTTAATTATTTTTATAAATGTAATTTAAAAACTTTTGCGGGTTTGACCCACGGATTTTAATTTTTTTTATATCTATACTTTTTAATGAAACCAAAGATAATTTCATTACATAAAATATAATATTATTTTTAGTTATATATAATACTATTATATTGGAGTCATAATACATATATATATATATATTATGTTGCATCTAAAAAGCATATTCATTATCATATTAATAATTTAATTTAATTACTGTAATTTTATTATTATATTAATAATTTAAATTTTATATTTATTTAATTAAATATTATAAAATATTAGTAAATTAATAAAAAGAATTTTGAATTTACGATATTAAAATAAATTATAAGGATATGAATAATAAAAGCACCATTGGAGGAGAAGGTATTGTATCTTCCTCTTCTATTTATTATAACCAAAAAAGCAAGAACACAACAAAATCATTTATCTTCTCAACTCTACACACACACACACTATATATTTATATATATATATATATATCATATCTTATACCTGCCATCTTATCCTCTTACAATAATTTTTTCTTTTTTAAAAAATATATACATACACTACATACGTGCATACATACATACCCACATATTTGTCCATGCATACCCTGCAATGAATATTCTATTTTCATGGATGTTAAACTTTGTAACTCTAATTCACCAAATTTATGATGACATTATTGATTATTTGGTCCTATAGTTACTACTTCTACTTTTCTATTAAATTTTTTTAATTTTAAATTAAATTATATATATATATATAAGAAAATTAGAACAATAAATTATTTCAAAAATTTTTATTTTATTTAAAAATTATTAATTCGAAATTTATAAAACATGTTATTTTATAAATATATTATAAATTAATGATAATTAATTCGTAATACTTAATTAAATAAAATATTAGAATATAATGCAACTGTAGCATTGGCCCAACTCCATTTTCAGTGATGTATATAAAAATGGCACAGGAAAATAAAAAGATAATTTTTTTTTTTAAACAATGAACAAAAATAAATTACATAATTCCAGTTTAGTATTTTATTATACATATTTTACATTAAAAAAATTTACATTATATTATATATCAATAATTTTATACATCTTATATATATATATATATATATATACATATACAAATACGTACACAAAAAATAAAATAGAAGAAATTAATTGATTCAAGTGAGTTGAAAATCGGAAAAGGATGCTTGTATTTCCTCCAGAGTTCTTCCTTTAGTCTCCGGCACCAGCATCCATACAAACATAATCGTTGCACCACAAATTCCTGAGAATACAAAAAATGTTCCTGCAAATTTTTGTTTTAAATAACCCTAATTAATTAATTGCTAAAGAGTGATTAAGTGAAAATGATTTAATCTAATTAAAAGATTAATTAAGAGACCTGATGAACTCCATTTCAGCATAAAGTTGAAGGTGTAAACGACAATCCACCCAAAAAACCAATTTGACATGGTCACTAGTGTTCCTGCTGGTACTTTTATATGGATTGGATATATCTGCAACATACACGTACGTATACGTATACGTATACGTATACACCAGTTGTGAATATATATTATCATTAACTAAAGTATTTTAGATTAAGAGTAATTAATTACCTCGGACATTATAAGCCACGGTAAACCTCCCATGCCTATTGCAAAAGCTATAAGGTACCCCTGTTTTACAATGGAGATTAATTAATACTTCAAAAATAAATTAATATTTAAAAATATTACCAGTACGCTTGTAAATGCCAGAATTGAAGTGAGTTCCTCCAGATGCTTCATTGCCTGCTCCATTAATTAATCAGAACAAATGTAAGATGTACAAAATATATAACTACATGTTTATAAATATATGTAAGTATATGATTTTGATTATACACCTGCAGCCAGAATGCCAACCCAAGAAGGAAGCAAAACAAGCACATTCCTACAGCAGAAATCTGTAAGGTACATGATTAATTAATATAGGAAAATTTAGAAAGAAATTGAAATTTATCCACCTATATACATATATATATATATATATATATTTCTTACCATAAGGAGAGGTCTTCTTCCCCATTTATCTACCAAGAGTAAGACCACTAAAGTTTTTGGTATCTGCAAGTTAAACACTCATAATTAACTCCTTTCAGATGTTCCAAAGTCTTGTATACATAACATATATATATATATATATATATATATACATTACCATGAGAATGGCTAACATTGTTGATCCGACGTCGCTTGAAAATTCTGTAACAGACGAAAGAGTTTTTCACTGTATCTTCTTTTTCTTTTTTTTTTTTTCCAATCATGAATAAGTATATATATATGTACACACACACACACACATATACACGTATATGTAACTATTGATGGAGGCAAAAAGGTAGTTAAATTAATTAACCAGCGTCGTCGAATATGCTACTTGCGTAAGATGTCACAGCCGAGCTCCCTCCAAACTGCTGCAAGAACATCAACCCTACTCCAACCTATTCCAAACTTTTATCATCATCAATTTACTCAGTACATATATATATATATATATATATATATGTATGTATCAGAGTATTAATGAACTAATTTTAGTAGTTAATTAATATTTAAGCTCACAATGAGTGAATGAGCATATCTTCTTTGGAACAAGCTTAGTATTCCACTCTTTGATTCTCTTCTAAAGGTTTCAGCGATTTCCTGCAGACGCAAAACAAATCTTTCAAATGAAGTTTCAGAAGAAAAAAAGTAATTAAATATATAAAACTCTGAACCCTAAATCCTAAATCCCGTAATTACTTACTGTGATTTCGGCAGCTTCTTGAGAAATATCAGCATTCTTACCTCTGAGACCGTGCAGAGCAGCTTCTAACTCTTTTTGTTTTCCGACTTCTGCCTATAAATTTTTTCAGAAACTAAATTTAACGTTTTATTATACAAATAATTCTCTGAAACATACTCACCAGCCATCTCGGAGACTCTGGAATGAAGAACAATCCGATAACCTGCATCCCGCATGGGATTGCACCTGATGATAGAGATTAATGCGATTAAGTTCAAAAAGTTGGATTGAAGTAATTAATTGAGTAAAGGAAGAAGCTTTTAACTGATGAGTGCCAAGGTGCGCCAGTTAACCACGTTCCCAATTAAGAACACAAATGAAAATCCAAAAGTCTGCATCAACTGTGTGTATATATACACACACACACCACAAGGCAAAAAAAAGGTAATCAGTATGATTTTCTTAATTATATGTCTATATATATATATGTGTGTGTGTGTATATATATAAGTTTACCTGATTCGTGAATGTAAAACTTCCACGAATATTTTTTGGTGTTGTTTCTGCAATATATACAGGAATCTGGTCGATCCAAAAAAAGAAATAAAAATTGGAATTGCTGTGTTTTTATCTTAAGAACAGATGGATCAAAAATTACCACCCAAAAAAAAGTAGTATATATTTTATACGTTACCACGTAGCTAATGAAACCGACTCCAAATCCTAAGAAGAATCTCCCAACATTCAGCAGCAGTTCATCCTTCACTCCACAAACAGCAAAGTTTTATTTATAATAATCTAATTATTTGAAGTAGATATATATAATACAATATAGAAGAAGATTATATTATATATGTAAAGGAAATTGTTAACCTCAGCAAATGCAACTCCAAGCCAGCCCATGGTGCAAAATATTTCAGAGAAGCACATTGTCTGCTAATTCACAACATAAAAACATCTTTAAATACTGATTGAAAAAATTATCAAAACAAATTCTTGAAATTAAATTGTTTTTTAAAAGATTAAATACTTAACGCGTTTTCGACCAATGAGAGAAGCTATCTTCCCGCTAAATACTGCACTTATCATCCCTCCAAATGTCATTACTGAACTAAAAAATGAATACTGCAAACAACAAAAAGAATATGAGCATTTGATATATATATATATATATGCTTCATGATCGTATATTTCAATCATTCTAGGGTTCTTAGGATCATAAAAAAGTAATTAGTCTTAAGTATGCAGATTAGTGAATCATCTATGACCCAAATGGCTATTTAGTTGAAGCAAAGGTCATTTCTTGCTAAAGTTGAATAGCTTTGTTTATATATATATATATATATATAATAATTCCAATGATCATACATGAATATTACATATTAGGGTCATTATCAAAGTGGAACCCATTTATCCACCCAGCAGCACCGAGGCCCATCCCACAAAATAATTACTGTTTAATTAAGATATATTAAAAAATTTGAAAGGAATGAAATAAAGTGAAAAGAGAGAATAAATTATTGTTCAAATATTCTCTTCAGATTAAAATAAATTAATAAACAAAAAGAAGAAGATAAACAGAGGATGTGTATCGGTAAGTACTTGTTGCAGAGAAAGGTTCAAGTCCCTCGTAATCCCAGATTGAGCTGGGGATGAATAACCCATCTGCAAACAATTCACAAACCAATCCTTCAAATCAAATTTGTTCATAGAAAAGTATAACTCAAGGCAGAAATTTATGCGATTTGGTTAAAAAATGAAACCTGTTTCACCAGACAGATGATTCCGATTTACAGTCAAAGAAGTCTAGAAATTCAAATGAATTTAAACTTTTAAATTATCGAGAGTTCAAAGCAGAAGAGAAATACCAGAATCGAAATTAAACTCACACTGCAGCCGAAAGAGAAGGAGCCGCAGACGGCGACGAAGGTGCTGAGTAGAATGCCGGGAGTGACAGAGCAGGTTGTCCGTTCCAGTGAGAAATCACTGCTGCTAGACTCACCGTTTTGGTACGTTGTAGATTTTGAATTTTTCAGCAGTCCAGCTTCCAAGCTCTGCTCCTCCATAGTTTCGATTCTGAATTATTAATTTCCCCTGCTCTCTGGGAGAAAG